CAGCCTGCTGCTAATCTCTAAATTACAGGGCCTGGACTCTTTTCCCCAGCCCATATTCAAGTCTCTACATTTTGATGTACAGGCCTGTGCACCTTGTCATTGTCTGGTCCTTTCCTCCCTCACCCGGAGTGTATGCAGTGCCTGATATTCAAGAGCTCTTCAGAGCGAAGTTTCAACTGAAATTGATGAGGAGGAAATGATGGGTCATAGGGTGGGAAGCAGAGATATAATTTCCAAATAAGTCATTCTGCCTCGGGTTTTCCTGACTCAGCCAGAGAATGATGGAACAGGGAGCTGATTTCAAGCCCACATTATCACGATTAACTTCTACTCTTTTCTCCACTACTGTAGGTGCTGAGCTAGCAACGTCACAAGACAGAACACACCTGAATCATGGGCCCACCCGTGACTGCTGAAGGGCCAGAGGTCCCAAAGACACCCTGGCCATCATCTGTGATACTTCAGGGGGAACTGGACGAGAGCCTGCTGCGTGCTGTATCAATGCACGCTCACTCTGCCTTACTCTGACTCTGTCCTCTTACTCTGCCGCGCTTCGTGCTTCTCTGCTGATGTGCTCTTTTACGGCACAATTTTTGCCTTTTTCTTTGTCTCCCTGCTGTCTGGTGTGTAATGTGGACTAGGATGGATATTCAAATGTCCTTGGCCTTGGGAGTCCCCAGTCCTGGCCGAGAAGCCATCTTTCTCAGGTGATCACCACAGGAGCTCCTAACCAATCAGTCTCCCTCCTGATAGTCCATTCTGAACACCACAGCCCGGTGGCGGGTTGGGACTATAAGGCAGCCCTGCTGCTGCTGTACTGAGAATGCCAGAGTGAGCAAAGCTCGGCCAGAAAGAGACAAGATGGAAACACAGGGATTGCTGCATAAATATTTGATGAAGCTTCAAGCAGTGGTTTTCACAGATTTAGATGGGATAATGGCATTATGGTTTTGTTTCTCTTAAAATCTTTTATCTTTTGGAAATAAGGTACTAAAATATTTAGAACCAAAGCGATGTGAGTTGTGAAAGTGCTTCCAGTGGTAGGTAGGTACAAGTGCCAGAATACCAAAAACATCCTTTTCAGCAACTTGATAAGCAGTGAAGTGAGTGTTGGATATACGGAGGTTCATTTCACTATTCCTTCTACTTCTGCGTATGAATGTTGTTTTCCTAATAGACATGGTGGAAACATCCAACCCCTCCCAACACACACACACACACACACACACACACACACACACACACAAAGAGAGTAAATGTAGTCTTTTCAGAGGTCCGCAAGGCCTGGCCTGAATGGCTCCTGGGGTCTCTAACTCTGTCGCCCCCTGCTGGGCTGCTGCCTTCAGTCACAGGGGTCTCTTGCTCACATAGGCCCAGCCCACCTGGCCCCAGACTTTGTTCAAGCTGCTCCCTTGGTCTCATGGCTCTTCCCCCTGCCCGTGCAGGGGTGTGTGGAGCTCCTTGGGACACCCAATGGGTCAGTGTCTGCCGGGCTGACTCAGGAGGCAGAAGACTGCTGACTCCGAGGAGCCGAAACGTCTTAAAGACCGGGTGTTTTGCCAGCTTGAGCAGAGATGGGGCTTAAGGGAAAAATAAGGATGCTCCCAAGGGGACAATCAGACAAAAGTTAATTATTCAGCCAACTGCTTGCCTGCCTTGCTACCTAAAACAAATATCTGCTCTCAGCAGAACTCTATGCCTTTGTTGTTCCTCAATAAATCTGAGGGTTGGAGTCAGTTTAGGGCTTCACTCCATTCCAGTGAAGTCCCCTGGTCCCCCGACAAAGATATTTTCTGTTGCCTGTGTCTTCATTCATGTCTCTAACAGGGTGTGCTAGCCAGAATCCAGCAGGAGTGTAGCTCTCAATGGGGCCGTCCTGCATCACCTCCTTCCATGCTAACCATTATGGCTCTCTTTTCTGCCTCTCAGAGACCCTAGGCATATGGGCAGGGACCATGTTCTCAGGGACCCTCCTCTTCATTTGTCTACAATAAGGCTTGGCAGTCAGTCAATGTTGAAGAAATTTTTGTTGAATCAGTGAACTAATGGAAGGAAGGGAACTAGGGAGAGAAGGAGCAGGGGTGGGAAGAAAGGCAAGGAGAAGACAACGGCAAAGAGAAGAAAGGAGAAGAGACACACAAAAGGAAAGGGACTGCTCGACAGTCCCCTCTGTGGTGTTGGCAGACTTGGAGGAGAAGCCAGGTCCGTAGACATTTTAGTTGCTCCCAATTGGAGAAGCAGAAGTCCAAGTAAAGCTGCTGGGCAGGGCTGAGTGGACAGAGGCAGGAGGCCTCCCTCAGGGTCACTTCCTGTTTCTGAAACTGTCCAAAACATCCCATCAACTCTGGAGGAAATGCAAATCGCTTCAGCTTGCAGGGCCACTTCAGGCAGCACCTCTGCCCAGCACTATACAGTTTCCAGGCCCTACTGCTTCACTCAGCAGCTGTCCCACTAGCTGAGATTCCTCTCTCTGACATCCCTGGTCTGTATCAGTCTCCACAGAGGCTTTTGGGTTGGCTGTGTACATGTGCCACCTTCCTTAGCTGACTTCATGAGCACTTGGCAATGCAGTCCTTGTTTCTTTCTTTCTTTCTTTCTTTTTTCTTCAGAAAATCCCAGTACATTTAGCAAAGTGCTCATGCATCCCAAGAATTTCATGCAAGATTTGCTAACACACTGACACATGAATGAAAGAGGGGGAAATCCAAGCCCAGCTGTGGAGACACAGTTCTGGGAGGGAATCCCTCGAAGCCACCTAGCAGATGTGCTCCACCAAGCCTTGGCCTCCAGCTGTGGAAGCTGCCAGGAGGACTGTGACACGGCTGATGCTCAATAAATACCACATCCCAACCCACCCTCGTCATTGCTCCACCCCGCCCTCTCCACTCTACTTGCTTCCCTGGGTCTCTTTGCTTAAATTCTCAAATGTACAGACCAAGTGAATTTGCCTTCACTCCAAAGCCCCTCAGCTATGCTAAGTTTCAATCAGGCCAATGCCCTTCTGTACCTGTGATTGGCATGGCTCTTGGGGACAAAAGTGCTCCTGAGGATAACAGCAGCCATGCCTGATAAGCACACTCAGTGGATTCCAAGAAATCATGTCCAAAAAAGTGCAGGCCTGACAAGCAAGCCTCTACAAGATGACCCCTCTCCTCCTTAACAAGAGTAAACTAGACAAAGATGTAGATCAGTGGTGGCAAACCTTTGGCACAGGTGCTGGAGCCAGCTATTTGTTATCACTGAAAGCTCTAAAGACTTCGCCATTACTGATGGAGATAAAGGATGTGCACCATCATCTTTACATAAATAGTTCCACCTACCATCTAATACTATGTCAGGAAAAATAATACTTGCAGCTGCTCAATCCAAAATGAAGAAAGTTCACATAAACACTAATGGGCAAAAAATGCTGTTTTCTCTTAAGATTGTGTGAGAGCATGTTGAGAGAATGAGAGCTCCAACAGCTGCCATGCTTTGCTGCCCCTCAAGGTCCGTGCCAGGACCATCCTGGACCCCTTTCTCCTAACAACTCAGGCATGGCCATGCCTTTTCTACTGAAGCAAGAAGGCCACAGGGTTAGAGAGACCAGAAGACTTGCAGGGACCACACAGCAGCTAAGAAGTCAAGCAGGGCTTCCTGGACTTTGAGTCATGATACCTCATACTCCTCTGCAGGGGAGAAGGCCACCTGCACGACTGCCTCATCTACCTGAAAGGGAAAGTGAGGCCAGGGCTGTGCAGGCTGAATGGGAAGAGACATGTCCAAGGTCTTCCACTTGAGACAGGTGACTCTCTCACCAGTGTGCCCTTAGATGTTCTTCTACATTTCACCTAGCCTTCAGAACAAGTTTCTCCAAGACTTCTGAAGACTCAAGATGGCTCTAGGAGGCAGAGTTGTTAGAAAGGCAAATAATACAATTCAGGGATGGGTAAGATCAGATTGGAGTCTGTGTTGACTGATAAAAGAGCAAATCATGGAGCTCACCCAACTTTAGAATGCAGGAGGTAGAATGTGGTGACCAAACCCTCTTAGAAGGTCATTCCACAGCAAATACGTAACCCTGTTCACCTGACTGAGTTACAGAACCTTCAGGCTAAAGAGCCACAAATGGGACAGGGGCTCCCTCTGCTAGATGTCAGGACTTCCTCCCCAGCCTTCAGGGATGATCAGTGGGCCCCTGATGTCTAGATGAAATCCTCTAGGGGCACTAAACCCACTGTCTCTGGATTTTCCATACTATCTGAGTACCGGTGTGCCCCATATACTGTTCTCTATGTGCATTAATAAAGATGGTACCAGCTTAAGGGTCAGAGTTCAATAGGTGTTTTGCCTCCCTACTGTGTGCCAGGCACCCAGATGGGAACTGGGGACACAGAAGTGAGTCTAGTTTGCCGTGGGGCATCCAGGAGGCATCTACTGACATGTGTTTCTGTAATTCCTTTCTTAAACCTATAGCATTGTATCAGGAGCAATGTTCACCAGTAACCTAGAACCTGGTAGATGTGCACAATTGAGATAAGAAGACATGTGGTAAATTAAATTAAAGTGCATTAAATTAAATACCATGACATATGATATTCAATAATAATATGGATGCTTAAAGTATGTTCGCAGATTTCCACTGTTTTGCCCCTATTTTCTTAGTCTTTTTCTCAAAATTTAGCTCAAACACCACCTGCTTCAGACGGCCCTGGTGGCCCTCAGTCTGGCAAGTCACCCACCTTTGTGTTCTCCCTGCACTGGGTCTTCCTCCACCAGGCAGCTGTAGCCACACATACCACTCTCATGGCACACAAACTCCTCTCCACGTTTCCAGGCCCAGCTCAGGGCAGAGCCACAGCAGGCCCTCCCCCAGGTTCACCAGCTGAGCCCAATGTGCCCTTCTGCTTCCAAGGCCCGTTTCAAGCTCCTGGGCTGGCATGTGCCCTGTATTGGACTTCATGAGTCAGGGGTCAGTGTCAGTGTGTTGGGACGTCAGAAAAGGAAAACAGATTACTTACTCGGAGACCCTGCAAACCAGGAGGTCCTTCCTTGCCTTCTGGACCCATCAGACCCTATAGGAAGGGAAAAAAGAGAGGCAAAAGGATAAATGCAGGATTCAACAGTATTAGTCATGCTCTACCACCTTCTTCTCATTGGGTAGGGAAACCCTGTCACACCCCAGTGGGAAATTTTGAGGTCAGGGTAAAAATAAGATTCCATTCTCTCCAATCTACTTTATTTGGTTTTTGCTTTTATAGGAGGTGGTGTTTGCTTTCTTTCCTTTTTAAAAAATGTATTTACTTTTTATTAGTACATGTTTTCAGTACACGATATTTATGTTTCTTGCAGGGAGTTGGTACATACACAACACAATTCAATTCTTTTTTTAATCCCCTTCCCTATCTCTTGGTCTTTTTCACATATGAAAAAGCTCTATCTAACTACTTCTTATTATCTATCTTTTATTTATATTTTGGGTTTCTCATATAAAAGAAACCATGCAATATTTAACTTGTGTATCTGATTTATTTCACCTACCATCTACTGATCTAATTAAATATGCTTAACAAGGAAGATACGGGCAGTACATTACAGAGGGCACAGTAAGGGTTAAATGGCTGCTATTAGTGCTTTACAAAAGCACACGCGAAAGAGCCATTTGGAATCCAAGTACTTAACTCTAGTCCAATGACCTTTCTCCTGCAGCCCACTGGATCAGAGGCCACTAGCTTGGGTTTTCTGAATCTTGGGAGGTAGTGATGACAGTTAGGACAAATAAATGAAGTGTTCTAGGAAAGATAATTTCAATCCCTGAAGGAACTTTGATTGTGGGGTGGGCATGTCCTACCCAACTAATTCAAACCCTGCCTCCTCACCCTGCCTCGTACCTGCTGCATAACCTCAGACACACCGCTTGACAGTGTTGAACCTCTCCTCTGAAGTCAAGGTAATGCATGTATCAACTGAGCAGTTGGGAAGACCACATGAAGAATTGTCCCAGACCCATGACCCAGCCCTGCAGCCTCCTGGAGGCCCCTGACACATGCCCCACCAACTGCACATAGAGGAAGATACAAGAGCTGAACCCCTACTCAAGCTCTGGCTCTGCTACCTCTTCTGAGTGGATTTTAGCCAGAAATGCCCTCAGCACTTCAGTTTCCTCATTTTAAATAAATAGTAGCATACTAACAGCTTCTAATGCCAAATACGACCTATGAGGTGACCAAGCTACAGTTAGGTCCAAGGTCTTTTAGTAACACCATGTAAGTTGATAAATGCATAGACAAATGGCAAGAAATAATAGTGTGTGTCTCCCACACACAAACAAAAAGAATTTTGTGAGCTGAGAGCCCACAGCAAGAGGAGACCTAGCAGGAGGAAATTCATGTCAAGCATCAAGAAATCCTGTAACTTGAGTTGCTCAGCCCGATAGTGGCAAAGGACCAAGGCCTATTCCAGCTTGGGAAAGGTGATAGATGCTAGTATTTGGATGCAGAATGCTCCACACTCTTTCTATTTAGAGAATGGATATATTCTCTTCTCTCTGGGACCGCTGAACACAAATTCAAAATTTCACATTCTCAACAAAAGGCAATGAAGCCAGCTTCTCAGCTTGATTCATCCTATGCATATTTAGGAAGCAACTGCCCTACAAAAGGGCCTGAGCTGAATGTTTCTGGGGATTTAAAAGAAGAAAGGACAATTGATGTCAGTACTGAGTTTAGTAAGTTTTCACACAGCACTGCTTTGAATAGTTCATTTGACCCTCATAGCAAGTTCATGTAAGAGATGATGATGATGATGATGATGATGATGATGATGATGATGATGATTTCCAAGTTAGCAATGAATCCAATGAGGATTACAGAGATTAGATAATGTTACCAAAGACACAAATCTACTTGGTGAAATAGCAGAGACATGAAGCCAAATGCCTTCCACGGCCATGCTACTCTGTAAGCTCTTGCTCCAGTCAGATCCCACTTTGATCCCTTTAAAAGCCTATCATGGAACATTGCTCCCCATACATGTGTTAAGTTCCCATCATGCTGTAGACCTGTAGATTCTGAGATGGGAGAAATAGTATTCCTGGCCTTAAGAAGCTCACATTTTTGCATCTCTCATTATTGTTCTTTTTTCAACAAAGGCTTTACCGAGGTTGTTTGTTTTGTGAATTTCAGCCAAGGGAATTTTATCACTACCACCATGTATGGTACTGAACCCCATTCTGTGAGAAGCATCTTGCCGGGTGGACATCTTCGGGAGCATGGACAGCTCTGTTGGGCACCAGGGTTGAGCTATGCTGGTGTTTGAACCTAGAGAGTCTCAAGACCCCTGTGTGTCCCGTGTGATAGACCATTATACGCTCCTGGGTGAGGAGAGCATGGGCTATGCAGATAGATCTCATTCCAAGTTCTGTTAGCTTAACAGCAATGTGACTTTGTGTGTGTCATTCAGTGTCTCTGTACCTGTAGCTTCGTCATTAAAAGATGAGAAATCACACTCTCACCCTTGCAGACTTAAGATGCACTCATTTGTATCAAAAGTACACCATTGTGTAAATATCTAATATTTGCCAATAGTGGATCTGAAATAAGTATGTATATATGCATAGAAAGCAAAACATTGAGAGTCTACTGCATGACTTCAAAACTTATAGCAGTAGTGGATAACTCCAGGAAACCGAGCTTTGGAGAGAAATAGGAAAAGAAAGTAGCTTTACTGACCCAAAGATTTTGATATGAAATTGTTCTTATTAACATCATCTAAGTTTCTTCTAGTTCTACCCCAGAAAAACCATGTAAATGTATTTCTAATGATGGATTGTACTCAATGGGTCAATATGAATCTCATTTATGGGCATTTATAAATAAGTGTTGCTTCATTTCCTTCAATAAAATGTAAGAGTCGCTATATTTTCTTCAAGAAAGATATAGCAACTTGAAAGAAGCATCAGTATGCTGCCAGGAGAGGCAACTTTAGAACAGGGACTCTTGTGATGTTCACTGCATTCTTATTAATTATACTTACTATCTGAACTTACATCGGAAATGATCACAGGGCCCCCTTGAATGGCCTGTTTCCAAATGATTATTTACACATCATTAGGTGCTTAACACAGTGAGATACCAAAGACTGGAGTGCTCCAAGCCAGCTAGAAGCCATAACCAATTGGAAACATGGGAAAGTACATGTGCATAGAGTGATTCAACAGGCTTATGAATGCCCAATATTTTTCCTCTATTTTATCTGAAAGGAAATGAAAACAACAGACTGAGCACCCAGAAACCCTCATTGTGGCCTGTTTGGGACCAGGCTCTAGGCAAGCTTCCTGGCCTGCAGTCACAGGAAGGAATTCTGTAGGAGCTGCTGGTGGTGTCTCCTCACCACAGTCATCTCTTCATAGGTAAGAGGGTGACAAGAACAGCCTCTACCTCTAGGGGTGACTTGAGGCTTCTGAGGTAACACAGTGCTCAGTAACAGAAGGATGAAGGTTTTCTAGATCTAGGAGGGCGGCTTACTGGAGCTCCTGGTGGCCCAGGTGGGCCCTGGTGACCTCTTGGACCTGGAGCTCCCTGCAAGCACAAGCCAAACGTGCATTAGTCATGACTGCCCTCTCCCTGTGAAGCACACTCTGCCACCCATGGCCCTTCCTCTCCACCAGTTACTTCCCATGCTCCCAACAGAATCCCAGAGGCATGGAGGCACAGATGTGGCATTTGTGCTTTGCCCAGGAAGCTCCCTGAAACGCTCTTTCTGAGCCCCACTCTACAGCTGGGCCCTTTCCACTTCTGCTACAACCTAAATCCCCACAACAAGAGGCCTGGCAGCCCCCTTACCTGTTCACCCTTCAGGCCTTCTCTCTGCACCTGAGAGACAGACAGGTGTTAACAAAGGTGTCAGCAGTTTCTCAACAAGTCTCCCACTCTTGATCCATTAAGAATATTCACACAGCACACTGGAACACAGAGGCTTCTGAGTTTTCTCTGATTTTATACCTTTTTGGTGTTGAAATCTTTCTACCTAGCGTACGCCCCCAGAAGAGCTCTGCCTTATACATGCAGGTAAGGACTCTTCCAGTGACTTGGTTTTAGCAGCATCTGAGAGCTCAATCCCACTCACAGTGACTCACCACAGAGCCCGGCACGCCAGGCGGTCCTGCAGGTCCCACGTCTCCCTGGGCAGAAATAATAAGCATTTTAGTAGACTTACTAGTTGCCACTTCTTTGGTTGACCACCCATTCTGGATGCCCTTCCTTATTTTTGCAGGCCAACGGGGGCCTTCTCTGTGCTCCATCACACACAGTGCCATTGCACCTAGTCTTTGGTGCCTGATTCGTTTCTCTATCTCAAGGTCAATGGCTTCCAAGGAGCAGGAGCTGTGTTTTCTCTTCTACGCATGTTCCACCCAGGGCCTCGTTCTGGCTGGTGCCCCATGAAGCTGTCATGGTTTGTCACATGCATTTGCCCCTTGACAGCAGCCCTTGGTTCACCACCCAGTGAATGAACATGTGCAGGCACCAGGCACCCTGTTAGGCACAGCAGGAGCAGAGTTGGGACATTCTGGAGTGTCCCCTGTTCAACTCCTTGCTTTAGCACACAGTCAGCATTCAATAAGTACTTTCCAAATAAATAACTACTAAAATGTACTGATAACTCCCATCCACTGTCATTGCATTACACACAAATAATTGTCTCACATCTCCTTCGTGTATAGGTCATCTGGGCTATGACAGCTGGAACACGACTAGCTTTCCCAGGCATGAACTATATCTTGGCTCCACATAGAGCATACTCATCAACTGTGGCAAGACAAAAATCTTTAGTTCTATGACTCTGTTGCCTACAGCTGAAACAAGCAGACCTCTTGTAGCTCATGTCCCTTCACGTGGGTTACAAACATCACTTTGCTTTTTACCTAGAACCTAGCTCAGTGAGCATGGCAGACATTCAGTATTTTGATGATAAGTTGGCAAGTGAAAGAATGAGTCAGTAAAAAGTACAAGAGCATCTAGGATGAGTGAGTCACAGCATGCCTGCCAGTCTTCAGGGTCTTGGAGGTTAAGCCATAAGGACAGGAGCACATGGCCCTCCCTTTGACACCACGCCAAGGGGAACACCACTTTCCTCCCCAGCTGCACTCCTTCTATTCCTGCTCAAGACACGAAGAAAATGCTTCTCTTTGTACAGCACATCAAGTATCTGTCTGAAAATATCAGCTGCTCGTGTTCCTATGTCAACAAAGCTTCAGTATCAATTTCCCTTACTGCAATTGTATTTTAGTTTCTTGTATGTATTTGAGTCCTGCCTTGGAAGAATCTCTTCCTTCCATATTTACTCTCTCTAATCTGCCACTCCCCCACACATAATCACACTCACACGTACATACCCACACAGCACATGTCCATAGCCTCCCCAGGCAGCTGCGTGACACGTACACATGAACATTTCCACACACTCAGATCTCACTGCCAACAGGTTTTATGTGCTTCTCCATGAGAATCAGCTCCTCAAAGGAAAGGTTTTCTTCCTATACTCCCTCAAGCTTTATTAATATTTTGGTAAAATATGTAATTTTATGTAATATGTAATTTTTATGCACTGAGAAAGAGAGTTCTGAATAATGAATCTTTTGGGGTTCATAACTACATTTCTGTTGTTGTTGTTGTTGTTTCTGGTACTGGGTATCGAACTCAGGACCTTGTGCTTGCCAGGCAGGTGAGGCACCACTGAGCTACATCCCCAGCCCCACATAATTACATCTTTATTTATGTTTTGTGTCACTATCCTGTCCGTGAGGGACAGATACTGGGGATTGAACCCAGAACCTTCACACTAAGCTATATCCTTAACCCATTTTTTAAAATTTTTTTATTTTGAGATAGAATCTCTCTAAGTTGCCCAGGCTGGGCTTAAACTCACTATTCGTCTGACCCAGCCTCCCAGAGGGCTTATATTCATTTTCTTTTTGTTGTTTTTACTGTTGTATTTGTCATCATCATAACTAATCAAAAAATTAGTTTTTAATCTTTGAATCAACTAATCAGTAATTTTTAATCATCTGAAGCTCATAGTATGAGATAAAATGTTCTGATATACAATATTATGTTACTATCAAGGCAAAGGAAGATTCCAGTATTTGTTCATATACATAGTGTGTAGATATGGCTAACAGATGCTGGAGAACATCTATATCCCAGGCCGTCCTCTAAGGACTTCATATGGATTCACTCTTCTTCTCTAGAATGTGATCTTTGCTATCTCAGGAGAAAACTGAAGCACAGAGTTGTTCAGTGACTGTTCAAGTTCAAAATTTTAGTGAGCTATAGATTCATAAACGTTTTCAGGTCTCATTTGCTTTCCAGTATATGGACTGCTCCTTTTCAGCTGCTGTGGTAGGCAGCCTCCTGAAAGGCTCCATGTCCCCTGGCTTCCAGCATTCATACTTTGTGCGGTGACTTCTCACACTGTTTCACTTTCCTGTATGTGACCAACGGTAAGAGAAGAAGTGATGGCACATGACATCCAAGAGCAGGTTATAAAATGACTAAGGCTTCCATTTTGAGATTTCTCCACTCCCCCAACCTGAGAGCCCTCACTTCGGGGGAAGCAGCTTCCATTTTGTGAGCATCACAGCAGAGAAGCCCTTGGAACAAGGAGCAAAGCCTCCGGCCAACAGCCATCAAGGAACTGAGGCTGAGTCTGGAGTGGATTCTCCAATCCCAGTGGTCTCTTGACAGAGCCACATCCCTGGCTCCTGGCTGAGTGATTGCAAACTCAGGGGAGGCCCAGAGCACAGATGATCCAGGTCCTAGATTCCGGCCCTCCAGAACCTTGTGCCACCATAAATTGTTCTTGTGGGAAATTACTGAGGTTTAAGATGATTTGTTACCCAGCAATTGCCAACTAGTACAAACACTGGGTCAACCTAGTACAATTTTTAATGTGGCACAAAAATGTGTGCATTTCTTAATAGTGCAACTTGCACTACTGCATCCGTCTTAGTCATTTTCCTCTCCCAACTTCAAGGAGGAGAGGTTTATTGTGGTTCATGTTTCAGAAGTTTTGCCCCTTGCTGGGCACTGTGGAATGGTAGAAGGGCCTGGACAGGGGAAAGCTGCTCACATTGAGGTGGCAAGGAAGCCGAGAAGGAAGGGAGGAGCCCGGAAGGGAGATCTACCCTTCCAGGTCATGACCCTGGGCCCCACCTCTTCAGACCAGACTCCACTTCCGCATAGCAAGTCAGCATGTAGCTCAATAATCCCATTTTCTTCCAAAAGCCTATGAGCACATGAGGCTTTTGTGGGACATCTATATAAACCATAATGGAATCCTGAATGGACATGTGGGCATGAAAAACCTGAATCTTTCATCTCTAATTAACCCACTCTGGGATCTTGGATAAAACACCCTAATTTTAGGGTCTCTCTTTCACCTGTAGAAAGAGGGATTTTCAAAAAACCATGATTTAGCTTAGTGGTTCCGCCACCTGCCTCACAAGCCCAAGGTCCTGTGTTCGATCCCTGGTACAAAAAAAAAAAAAAAAAGCTTCCATGGCTCCAATGACTTTCCCAAAGGCTGTGTAAGATCTGAGACACGTCTCAATGCTGGTCTCAGAGTGAGATGGTTTCCTGAATATTCTAACAAATACCCTGAAATAGTGGCATGGCCCTTAACCTTGTCCTCTAACTGATGTTGCATCCATCATGACAAACAGTTCAGCATTGTTTTTCCATGTATTAGACACAAAATAAAATCTACAAACACAGCTGAAGGTTGGAAATCATAAGAAACCCACACACTGGTGTGCACACGCTTGCCCACACATGTACACAAGAATCACATACACATGGGCAGCCACAGGAAATAGAGTCATCACCTAGAAGATCCCAACTCCAAGCACTATTCCCTCTTAGTGACTTGAAATAAACTAAAAATTACTTATTTTGTGGTTTAGCATCCCATCAAGAAACTGCAGGAATGTATCAAAATCCTGACACCAAGATAATGTAGCAAAATAAATTTCAACTCCAAAACACCTAGAAGGCGACAGAATAATTAACTCAGCTAGAACTGAAACCCAAGTGAGAAAGCTGGGAGATGTTAACACTCTCCTGCCATGTTCCTCAGCTGAGGTCTGTTCAGCCCATGCTTTTTATCTATTTATTTTTCAGGCATACTGCGTCTGGGTCCACCGTCAGAGGAGCCCTTTCCTTCACTGTGAGCCCATGCAGGGAACCTGACTTGCCCACGGTGACCTGCATCTGAACCTGGTGTAGTTGCTCTAACAGGGACAGCTGCCCTCATCCACCAGCTCAGTACCACAAGGTTCCTGCATGCCACATCCTGCTCTCCCCATCTCTCTCCAGCCTGTGTCTGAGGTCTTCCTGGGGGACATCTAGGAATGGGAAAGATGTCTCTCTTTTTCCCCAAGGCTGCATCTCCTCATCCTTCCTGCCCCAAACCAAAACCAACATCTACCTTCTCTATTGCTCTCCCTCACTCTGAGTTATCAGGAAGCGACTGCTTCCACATGCCTCCATAAGTACGCTAGTTTGCAAAGAGCATGCCATCATCTGGGCTGATATGCAGAAATTCTAAGCAGCAAATTTGGTTAAGCCTTGTTGGGAGGTGTTCAAACACAGAAAACCAACATGATAGGACACAAGTGGGACTTTCTGATTAAAGGCTTAGAACAGTCTCGGGACTCTTTGCTGATAAAAGTCAGTCGTGAAATGTAGAGGAGAGGGAGGGAGATGAAAAGTACAAGAGAGGAAGAAGAGGAGGAGGAAGAAGACAGAAAAAAATTGTAAGATTATATTTGTGTTCACAGTGTTTTTAGTCCAAAAAGCATTTGAAATAGCAAAACATTTTAATATATCTGGATTTTATATGGTAGTGTTTTTTTTTACTCATTTGTATTTCTAAAGGTAGGAAAAATAATTCAAATACAATAGGCAAAAGTATCTGATCAGCTGAGTCCTGATGCCCAGCTCACCCTGCTCTGGCCCTGGCTTACCTTCTCTCCCTGGGGTCCTGCTACACCAGGAGGGCCAGGTCCTCCCTGCAGGAAAGAAAGCAAAGGTCCATTATGGCCGGCCCCAGGGTTACCCAGATCGAGAGAGGAGGAGGGAAGGGTTGGGGCAACTGCAGCTCTGAATCACAGCTTGGATTCTCCCAGGAGCCTGCTCCCCTTAGACAAGACTTCTCCCCCATCCCTACTGGCTCTTCCTCAACTAACCTAAATTGTGCATGTCCATGTTTCCCTGTTTCCAGCTGCGCTGGCACTGCAGTGTGGGGACTGAACTCTGAGGAAGCAGGGAGCCATTTCCTTCGGGGATGGGAGGACCCATCCGAGAGAATCCAGACAAGGGGAGGGCAGGCAATCACCCAGGTCTGCCCTGGTCACAGCAGGTGCAGTCTGAGGGAGTCCTGTGCAAATTCTCAGGGGCCTGGGGACCAGCTGAGTCTCTAGACAAAAAAGAAGGGGCTGCTCAGGCCTGGCCAGGACTCGCTCCTGCCACAAGGCAGCAGGCACAGAGAGCTGGTGTGGGGCTGGTCTCTGTGCTGGTCCCTGCATGCCCCACCCTGGCCTGGGAAGGCATCTTCTCTCTCTCTGGGCAACTCCAAGTGACAAGAGCCAGGCCTGGCCGCAGCAGCACACCTATTCTTAAGCAACTGAATAACTTAATGTAAATTCAAGCTGCAGATTATTAAACTGCCATTGGCATCATGCTCTTGGCAAATATTTAAGAAAATGGCTTCATGTGTATGATACAGTGTTGAGGGAAGAAAAGCAAGATACAAAAACAAATGATTCCAATTTGTTAAGTGATGATAGAAATCTAGATATTATTTCTTGGTAATGGGAATAGCTATAATCTATATTCCTATAGTGTACTAAAATTAACACTTTTACTACAATTATAGATTAAAGATAATTAACTTGTGTACTTTATTTTATCTATGTACTAATATTTATATTTACATTAACATATTGGCCAACACATTATGTTAAGTTATACCATTCAATAGGACAAGTATTTCCCTAAGAGTCTTCAATATAGAAGTATGACTTTAGGTTTTATTTAATTTTTATATTTTAATCATTGAAATATCTAAGTTACTTTTAGGAGAGATGATACATTCATATCATACAAATTTAAATGTATTAAAGTTGCCTTCCCATCATAGTCAGCCACCTAACGTCCTCTTCTGGGGCAACCAAGCCAGCTGTTTTCTGTTTATCTCCTTAGAGCAACAGTCCCCAGGTTTTCTGGCAAGAGGGACCTGTTTCATGGAAGATGATTTTTCTATAGGAGGCAGAGGTGGAGGATGGATGAGTGGTGTGGGGAAGAATCAAAGGAGCTCACAACCTAGATCCCTCTCAGGTAAAGTTCACAGTAGGGTTTGTGTGCCTACGAGAATCCAATGCAGATGCTAATGATGGGGAGCAGCTGCAAAAACCCATGAAGCTTGGCTTGCCCCCCTCCCCAGCTCACGTCCTGTTGTGTGGCCCAGTTCCTAACAGGCTTCAGACTGGTACCAGTTTGTGCTCCAGAGGTAGTGCTTGCCTATGTAAGTCACAGATGCATTTTCCCCATTCAGCAGTGACTCACAGTCAGTCCTCATCAGCACACTGGTGAATTTCCAAGGACCATCTCATACCCCCAGGTGAGTGCACCTGACCCATCCAACGAGTTTTCGTTGCTGAGCGCTTGGGTGCTTTCTAACTTTTTGCTCTGTGGACAGGTTTGCAGTGACTACACTGCACATACTCCACTCAGAACACTTGCACACCACCTGTGGTCTTTACACTAGTGAGTGACAGCAAGTCATAATACTCCCTGTAAAAGGCATTGAAATCAGTGAGACCCCTCCCACCCAGGAACCCCAGCCCAAGACAGCTTCGGCTCTGGGCTGTTCACAGATCCCTGCTGCCCTCCCCTGAGCAGGAAGGAAGCTGAGGGCCCAAGACCTAGGGTCCCATGCCAGGGTCCAGCCATTCCTGTCCTCTGACAAAACCTAGCCCATCAGCCCTAGAACCCACTTACCTGCTCTCCTGTCTCCCCAGGCTTCCCAGGGAATCCATCCAGGCCTCGCTCTCCCTGAGAAAGAAGGAAAGCAAATAAGTAATGGACAATGGCGGCCAGGCAGCAGCCTACTGGCCACGGTCATGGAAATGACGGGTAAGCAAAGGCCCTAAGTGTCTTTCCGCACTCAGCTCCAGCCTCCACCAGGCACCTCTGCTCACAGGAGCATCAAATGCACACACCAGTCCTAGAGTTGAGTTCACTGAGGGCCAAGGGCTGGAGGATAGATTCATATCTCCCTCTCAGCTTCCAAATCTCTAAGCCAGGGATGACCACACAGGTCATCTGAGATGCATGCTTTCCTTATCATGAGGGTCTTCATGGGGGTCAAAGTAAAAGGTGGAGTTTGTACACAGTAAGAAGAACGCAGTCCCATTTCATGCATCACACATTCATCTTATCACACACAGGAACATCCTCTGTGTCCCCAGTGCCTAGAATACACCTAGGAACTGACTGCTGACATCAGGCATCATCCTCAAGGCTTTCCAACCTCCATCCTACTGCTGATGTTCCCACGCCCTCAGCCTTGACTCTCTCACTACCTGCTACCTGGTAAGTCACTTCACCTCTCTGAGACCATCCTGTTCACACTGCTTCCTGGGAATGGTGATAACCTTCTAGACAAAAGATCCCAGGACTAAGGAGACAATACATCTAAGACACCTGCCTATGGTGGACAGTGAGGGCCAGTGTTCTCCTCCTGCCTACACACGGCTTCCCTGGGCCCCCAGCCAATGCCCGCAGATGATCCAGGTTCCACTTAAGGGTTAGCTCAGGTCCAGGGTCCTCAGCTGCCATCATCCTTCCAGATGACTTTAAAAACCCAGGTGATGGGGAGATGCACATGCTTGAGAGGGAAGACTCGGACACCAGCAGCCTCTTCCCCAGTGGCTTCCTTCTGCCTCGCCTGTTGTCCCCTCTGCTGGCTGCTAAACTCCCTCTGGGGCTCAACTCCAGTGTCACCTGCTTGACCTTTTCATCTAGAGAGATGCCCTACTCTGCTCGGTTATGATCACATGTGCATCTCTCCTAATTCAATTTGCAGGCCTTACCCCATTTGCTTTCCTGCTCATGGGAGGACATGTGGTGTGGCTGTTCTTCACCACCATGTCCCCAGGACTGGCCCCGACCTCACAGTGTGGGCCCAGATGACATTTTCTGACATAAAACCCATGCAGAACTCTCCCTGGAGTTCCCTGGAATTTTCTTTTCCCAACTGCTACTTCTGTCTTTCATTTCTTTGTTGCAGTGGGTACCCCTCTTTCCAACGCTTTGTCATGTGACCAAAGTGCCACGGCTTTCTGCTCCTTCCTGTTGTGCCGTGTCAGGTGGCCTGCCTGTGCTGGTGCTGTTCCCTGTGCTCCAACTCTGCAACACCAGGCCCAGGCAGGGCCTCCCACAGGTGGGACGCGGGGCACTTGCACTTCCTCCTTCACTGCTCCTCTTTTTCTTGGAGAAGGTCTCTCTCTCTCTCTCCCTCCCTCTCTCTCTCTCTCTCTCTCTCTGACTGGGGACAAACTCGATGTTTCTCTGCCCAACTGAAGTAGAGGATGGGGGGAAGCAGCACAGCTTAGTTTCCCAAGTGGTGGCCCCAGTGGGTCCCTGCCAACTGCCCAGGACTGATGTGTACTTGGGGGTGGGGGGTTTTCCAGCACCTCTCTCAGATCTGCAGTTTGGGGTTTCTCCTCATCTTGCATCAATGTAAATGTAACCATATGTTTCCATCTTTCGGAAATTATTTCATATATCCAGATAACTGATGTACATATCTCTACTTTCAGAAGCCAGTATGTGTTACTTCTTTTAAAAGTCCTCTCATCACAGAAGACTTGGGTCAATCAGGAGAAGAGCTGCCTGCATGCTCTCTCTGTCAAGTGACCCCAAACTGGTTCCTGCTTCTTCTTTCTGTGGTTGGCAGGCTTGAGTTCAAATGAGGAAACTGAGGCCTGAAACTTGAGGGGACAACAAGCCACTTAACCCCAGCCAAGCTTGTGGTGCCGGCATGACAGCCAGAGGCTTCTGACCCTTAACCTTCAGCTTGTTCCTGCCACCTGGAGGCCTGTGCATGACTGGGCAGCATTCTGGGCTCTTCCTTGGTTCCCAGGCTGGTAAGTGGGCACGGTCTCGGAGTCTGTGGGATCTCACCCTCCACGTACAGGGGAGACACTGACAGCCACAGGGGTATGCTGTGTCCAGCACCACCCAGAAATGAATGATGGAACAGGACAAAAGCCAAGTCCCCTGACTTCCAGGGAAGAGCTCTATGCACATCACCTGGAGCCTAGAACCTTCTCAGGGCTCGGAGAGAAGGCGGACGTGATTACCGGGTACCACTTTACAAGTTCCACCTCAAAGCAAAGAGCTCAGCCTGCGCCCAAGGCCCTGTCCCTTACTGCCTCAGACTTGCAAGCAGGGATGAGGGGATCTGGAGCCGAGAGTCCTTGCAGCTGCAACTGAGCAGCAGCAGGGCTGGAGAGGGCCAAGTGGGCACAGGGACAGCAGGGAGCGCCTCCAGTCAGCATCTGGGCACCCGGCCGAGCTGGAAGTGCTGTCCGACAGAGGGGCCGCGGGAGTGAAGATGAGGAGATGAGGGAGAGGAGAGGGGAGCAGAGCAGGCAGAGGGAGAGGGGGACAGAGAGCCAGACACCAGGGAGCATCATGGTGGAGGGCATGGAGGGGGAAAGTTGCTCACCTCGTGGCAGCCAGGAAGCAGGGAGGGTGAGAAAGCGCATGCTGGCTGCTTCTTCCTCCCCTTCCGGTTCTATTCCACCAGGGCCCCGCCTACTGGAAGGGCCTGCCCGGTTCAGCACTGGTCTCGCCTCAGTTTGCTGTCCCTCCCGGCAGTCATCTCTGGAAGCAGCCTCACAGATACACCCAAAGTGTGCTTCACGCACTTCAAGGCACTTCTCAACCCAATCCAGTTGACAACCAGGGCTAAGCATCAATCCTCAAAAGGGGGCTGTGGCATTCCTGTCCCAGCGTTCTCTGTGAGGCCCCAGGAGCATTCCTGGCCTCCAGGCCATCCCGCAGTCACAGGCAAGACCACCCGCTGCAGTTCCACACCTCTGACAGCAGGGGGCGGACTGGACCCACTCACAGCTGAACACGGGAGGCCCCGGGCTGCCCACTCCAGTTTGGAGACTTTATAATGGGCACATTTACCATGGGAGGGCCCAAACGTTCTGTTCCTACCCTGCCTCCTCACCCATAATAGAAACCTGCTGTCAAACCAGAGGAATATCTGGGGTCACTTCCTCAGAAATCGGCCCCAGCCCTCCTCCAAGGAGACAACCTGCCCTTCCCCTCCCCGCCTCCTCAACTCTGTGTTCTGCTCCCGCACAGGCGCACATTTCCTGCATGCTAACCTTCCCTCCTCTGCTCCGTGTTCCTTGTCCCTGTAGGATGGAGCCCCACTCGCTGGCCTGGCCTGCATGTCTGTCTATGTCCTCTGCCTTCCTCAGGTCCACCACTGTGGTCAGAGGCTGCTGTTACTGAGAACAGCTTCCTGGCCTGCAGCCGCGCGGCCCCCTGTGAGCCTCTCCTCATTGCTGACCTCTGCCCACCACCTCAAAGACAGCACAGAGAGAACAGGACGGCCTATGCCGAGGGTACACAGATGGCAGCTCTCTCCAGTTCCAATTCCATGGCCTTTGACAGAACTCTAACTCCTTCCATCTGCTGCCAAGGGCCATTCAAAGTGCTCTATTTCCCTTTGCTTTAGTTTTGAGTCCAAATCTTTTGCAGCCAGGTAAGAGAAATGCCTGGTCCTAAGAGAAGACGCAACGCGGGTGAGTCATACCGTCACCACCCAACTGGAATGCTGCTGCCTCCTGAAGGCCCTCTGTCCCTGTCCAGTGTAGTTTCTCTTGGGACCAGGTTCCCTATCTCTGCCTCTGGGGACTCTCAGCCCACAGCTGGCATGCCCTGCCTTCCCGCTAGCTGTGAGTTTCACCGAGCAGGACTCTCCTGTGATATAGCTTGTAACATCCACAGACCTGGCACACGCAGGAAGTGAACAAACACGTGATGCCAAGGCAGGATTCAGGGCACTCCAAAGGCCCACCCTGACACCTCCTGGACTTGGGCTGAATGGTGTGGCCTCAGGTACCAGGCTAAACAGAACAGTCTGTCCGTCCTCAGGAAGTTCAAACCCACCCAGTTATGGACCCACCCTCACCTAGCAAGGGTTAGATAATGCCCTCACCCTGTGGTCCAAGAAAGAGCGCAGGCTCCTTGGGAGGGTAGAAGTAGGTGTCTAAGGACCCGAGAGCCATGGAGGGCTGCCTGCACCTCTCCAGGAACCTCCAAGCCAATTCTCAGCCACCAATGTGGGCAGTTTCCACCTGACTGTGACCCCTCTCTCTGAGCTTTCCTGTTCAGGATGCTTGGAGAGGGAATGCTCTCAGCCTCCTATGGTTGTCAGGGGACATGCTTTTCCAGGCAGAACTGGGGCACAGAATGCCCAATTTTTTATTTCTTCAGTGAGTGGACTCCACTCTCTGTGCCTTGCTAGATATACCTTACAGTTTGCCAATCATCCCAAGCCCAGCAGCACAGACAGCCCATTTTGGCTTCACTGAGCCAGGACCACCAGGACCTCCTCACACATGCAGAGCCTGAGTCCCCTTGATGCCTGCAGAGGTGCCTTCTGCAAACCCCCAAAGGAAGTGCTGTCTCCTATGTAACAAAGAACATCTCACCCAGGGCTGCTGGGGTGGCCACAGCAATGGGCAGGTGGGTCTCTCAGCTAAGACAGGCCTGGGATATGGTGAGGTCAGGCAGGTGGAGGGGGCTGTCTCAGGGAAGAGGGAAACTTCCTTCTTGCTGATGTAAGAAATGAGAGGGTTCCTGAGGAAAATAATGATGCTAAGCAGCCATTGAAGACAAGAACTGGAAAGGGGTCTAAAGTATCATGGAGCCCAGCCTCCTTGCAGGACAGACCCACTGTCCCCAAATCATGCAGTACGGAGGCGAGGGAGACAGAAGTCATGTGCAAAGCTGAGCCAGGGAGTCCCCTGTCTAATACCCCAGCCTTCTCTCTGTGTCTGGCTCTCGTCTAACCTGCAGTGATAACACACTGCCCAGCACCATTCTAAGCCTCTGAATTGACTCCACATCAAAGCATCATGCAGTCAATAATACACTTAACCTCTGCATTTGCCAAATTTCAGACTCAGGGGTTAAGTCACTTTTCAGAGGTCACACTGGAGAGCACAGCTCCCGGCCCCACTCAGAAGTTCCAGGATTACTGTGCAGGGAGACAGCAAGGCCACCGATAAGGGCAAGGGGACTCAGGCTGGACTCTCTGCCCTGGACCTCCCCGGATGTGGCCCTTCACTTCCTCAGCTTCCTGAAAAGGAGGCTGCTGCAGGAGGAAGGGCTGTGAGTCGACTCAAGAGTCCCTGGGGAAGGACCTGGTCATTCTGCACTTGTGCCTCGGAGTACCTCAGTGGGACAGACAGACTGGGAGTTTCTAGCACTTGCTCTCCTCACAAGAGGCCACATCACATGGGGAAACACACTGCCTCAGTTTCCCCATCTGCACAGTACGGCAAGCACTCCAGCTTTCTCTACAGTCCTTTCCAGATCTGGGACTGTCATAGGAATGCGGCATTCCTGATTAGCTTTAATACCAGCCTTTGGGAACTTGCCGGAGAAGCACTCCAACAATGCCTGGAAAAGGCTCTGGATTCAAAGCAGTGTTCCTGCAGAAACAAAGCCCTATGTGCAGACAGGTTTCTCCCGAAACAGCAGGGATTGAAGTGAACATCCATGCATGTGGCAGTCATGTGCTAGGCACTTTGCTTCTCTTACCTCATCCAGCCTTCTAACAAGCTTCAGGGAAGAAATTAATTTCCATTCTTCAGGGGAGGAAACTGAGGTCCCAGTAGCCTGGCACATGACCCACAGAGCCCTCAGCTTTACAGCCTTCACATCTCAGAAAGCAAATCTCACTACTGCTCAGAAGCTCAGCTGACACTACCGCATCCGGAGCATGGAGGCCGTATTCACATAGCGGCTTGCTCCAGAGTGCTTTCTCCCCATGATGTTCCCTGGCTGACAAGACAGCTTCCTGTTGGATGTTTTCTCCACTCTGTGGCTTCATCTTGGTTTGAGCTCCAAAATAAATCACCTGGACTCATACTACACATCTCCAAGAAGTCCAGGTTCAGGCACTTGTTGGCGAAAGCCATCTGCACCAAGTTCCATTTTGGTTCTTGCAGTGTCTCCCACCTGGTGCCTCATCCCATGCCAGTCTGTCACAGGATAACAACTGCTTGTGAACTTTGCTCCCTGTGCTGTCACAGGCAGTGAAGATCCAGAAATCAGGAAGGTGTGTGTGTGTGTGTGATGCTCCAAGTATGACAAATAAACACAGTGTAAGTGACCATGGTTCCAGGGCTTCTAGAGACACAGAAATGGGAGCTCTGGGACAGGCGAGGGATCTAGGAAGATTCTGGGGGAGTAATGCTAGAGCCAAGAGGCAGAGAAGTTCAGGCAAAGGCTTGAGACAGGCAGGCGGGCACCTTGGGGTATGGGTGGGCTAGTGAAGGAATGAATGGGTGAATAAATCAATTCAACTGTCTGCACATTTCTAACCAGACTATAGGCTACATGGATCAGTGGTCATGCATATATATTTTTAAATATTTGATGGCACTTTAGAATAATATGGATTAAAAATAGTCTGCAATGCTTAGGTGCTGTCTTCAATTTTTTTCATAAGGTAGAAGACAATGCAGGAGGTACCTCTATCAGCCCCAGTGCCATGTGTAAATGGGCTGACAGTCCCAGCACTTTGTGTAAACCAGGTGACAGATGCAAGGCTGGGAGGTGCCTCAGGTTCACAGTGCAGGGATGTAGGAAGAACCAAGACTCAAGGAAGAAAAGGATTGTGTTTTCTCTCTAAATCTCCCTCTCACACTTCCTATCAGTGCTGAGTGACATGAGCCCACATCTCCTGCGCCCACAGAATATGCTGGTACACTGGCCCCAGGGGAAGTGAGCTGAGGTCCCATGAGCAAGACCTCTATAGCCCCCCAAAGTGAGCCCTCCTGCCTTTGGACCCCGGGTTTTCCTTGCCCAGCCCTGGCACAGGCCTTAAGTGAGTGGAGAAGCCACCTCCAAGGCCTCCCTAGAGGAGGAGCCTTCTCAGGCTGACCAGGGCTGCTGGGTGTCTGCTCCCTGGGGTCTCATATTGGTATTGGACCTCAAACTAATGACCAAAGTTCTGGGGTTCTGAGGTGCACATCCCCTCCAAATGTGGCTGCCGCTTGTCTGCACACACCCAGGCCTGCGCAGTTGACTCTCCTTCGCTTGGGATTCCACAACTACCACTCACCTACTGCCCTTCCTGTAGGAGAGGTAGTCCTGGGCTTGGGATGTTACAGCATCATTATGCATTCATGGATTCAGCAGACATTCACCAAGGGTCAGCTATATCCCAGAGTCCACACTCAGCACTGCAGAGCTGCAGCATGTGCTGAGTGGACCTTGCAAACATCTCTTTTGCCACTATGCTCTTGGGACCCAAAGGTAGAGCCTGGACTGGCCTGCAACTGGCTGTTCCACACTGCCACCAAGGGACAAGCCTGTAGTCCTGACTGAGCTCTCCAGTGACAGCAAGGACATGACTGCCATGCCTCTGCCTTCAGCCTGAGACACTGTGGAGCCCACCATGAACTCTGAACATCCCTGAGCTTCGATGTTCCTCCTGCTTCCAGAGCCCAGCCCTGCTGCCGGGTCAGTCCCCACCTTGCTTGCTCCTGCCCATCAGATCCTCACTCCACTGAGTCCAGTACTGCCCAATGGCTCAAGCCACAGTGAGCCCAAATTCACGTGTACTCCAAACGTCGCTTTCAAGTCCCTGGAACTGGAGAAGGAGAAGGGCCATGGAAGGAGCTCTAGCTGGTGAGCAAGTATATGAAAACAGTGAAACTCCTGAGCCTGAGACAGGAGGAGCACAAGTTTGAGCCCAGCCTGGGCAACTGAGTTATATCCTGTGTCAAAATAAAATATAAAAATAGGTCTGGGGATGTATATCTGTGCAAAAGCCCTGGGTTCAATCCTGGTACCACAAAAAAAGGCTCCAAATACTCAAGGGATGCAAACACTTACACCTGGTACTAAATGTTTTGTTTCATTGTGACGATACCAATGACCAAGGAAATGTGCTTTCAGGGCCACAAAAACAGGCTCATTTTCTCTGACCAATAGCTTCACTTCTGAGGAAGCAGCCTAAGGAAATAATCCTAAATTTGAAAATAAAGAGATAAACAAAGCTACAGGTTAAAAAGCACCCACCAAAGTATTATTTGTAATAGCAAAAACCTGCAATCAACCCTAAATGATAAACACCAGGAGCACAGGAATTATGGTTTATACACCAATGGAACATTGCACAGTCATTGTGAATAACCCCTAATAACTACATAGCAGACAGGAGAAAGCACCGCATAAGCAACAACAAACAGCATTCAGAAGTGAATACCCAGTGTTGCATAAAGAGTATTGAATCTGTAAGGGTGAATCCGGCTGAGACTGGGCCGGAGTATTGGCTGTAACTCTACAAAGATGGCAAAATCAGAGCATTTTTCATTATGTTCCAAATATATGAAATAAAACTAAACTACTTAATAGTGAAAATTCCTGATAAAACTAGAGAAGTATGTGCAGTGGGATGAGAGAGCAGGGTACACCCTGAGCAGGTGTCAGGTAGCTGAGGGCATAAGTGAAGCCCAGATTCTGGATTACTTGGTCCATGACTCAAGGAACTGGCTGAGTGGGTTGGGGAGGGTGCTGAGATCTCAGTGGCAACTTGTGGCTTGAGAAGAAGGGGAGCATGGGAATTGCAGTCCTTGGTCCTCACCCAGCTGAACTTCGAACAGCCCATGGCATTAACATGTGGATGATCCTAGTCTAAGAATTCTTCCACTGTCACCTGGTGGCGTGCTATGAAGGGACAGCCATTGGGAGCCCTGCCTGGATGTGCTGGCCACTGTGGCAGCCCACGCTGAAGAGCCTGAATGTAAGCCTTGATGGCCAAGGCTCCAGTGTGCTCACCAGTGCCACTGTGGGCACCATGGCTCCTCCCTCTCAATGAGAGCCAAGGTAATGTGGAGCAGAGATGTGAGGTAGCTTGCCAAATAAGATGTGATCCAGGATAGCAACTAGGACCTCCAGTGCCCCAGTCCTCTGTGGACTGGAAGCCTTGACCTTGAGCTCTACTGCACAGCAGGCAAGGATGGTAAGGCTCTCAGGTACCAAGGACACCACCTTATGTCAAGATGTATTCTTTGGGTGGAGAATTAACAGACTGTCTATATCGTAATGACCCATAGGCATGCACATGCATGTACACACATCTCACATACAGAGTGGGCAGTCCCTGGTACCTTCTCCCTCTTTTTCATGAAAAGCCATATTGGCTGGTTCGTGTACATTGTAAATACCTTTTCTCCTCGAATCCCCCTTTCGCCTCGTTCTCCTTGAAGTCCCTGGAGGAAAAAAGAGCAGTGACCCACCATGGCCGTGTGTAGCTTCTCTGCCTTTAGAATGGCCTCTGTTACCACTGCAGGCCTGGGGAGAACCTGCCAGGCAGCTCCTAGCCCAGGGCGCCAGGATGGGTGGGGGATGAAGACCTGTTTCACTGTGATCTCACACAGCAACCTGCACGCTTCCCACGGGAGGCCAGCTCTGGGGCCGCTACCTGGCCTGGGTTCACCAGGTCCTTACAGCTGTAGACTGAGACACAACTGAACCCAGCTGGCCAAGGGCTGACTCATAGCTTTGGGATCAGTCACCACACCATCTGGAACCTGTAAACTCCATCATGACCATGGATTCCAGGAACGGATCCCAACACTGAACTGGAGACTCCGGGCCCCTCTAGCACACATCCTCCTTCCCCTAGAGCAGCACCCAGTACCTATGCGATGTGCTCTGTGTGTGGTCGCTTCCTCTCCTCTCTTTTCTTGCAGAAAGGGCCACTGAACATTTTACAGACTGGGTGTTAAACATGACAGATACTGCTTAGACCTATTTTCTGATCCCAGGGATAAAATACACATCTTTGGCCTGTAGAAAAGCATAGGGCCAAAGCCACAAGATGCTGTCCTGAAGGACAGAGGGTCTTAAAGACCACCCAGGTCAGTGAGGCAAGTGCACACTGATGCCATTTTAACCCTGTCTAAATAATTTGTCCCTACACACTGAGAACAGAGTTGTTCTTTTTTTCAATTTTATTAGTAATGTTTGCAGTACATTATGATTACATTCCTCATGGTGAGTTGGTACATGCACCTAACACATCTCAAACATCTTTTTCATCTCCTTTTCCTCTCCTCTCTCTATCTCTTGGCCCTCCTTCCATTTGTAAAAGATCTATCTCCCTATTTCATATTATCTATCTTGTATTTTGCTCTTTATATTCTGGGTTTCTCCTAGAAGAGAAATCATGCAATATTTAAGCTTGTGTATCTGATTTACCTCACTAAATATTATGGTCTCAGGGTGCATTCTTTTTCCTACAAATGACTCAAGTTTATCTTTATGGTAGGGTAGTGCTCCATTGTGTACAAACACCACATTTTCTATGTTCATTCATCTGTTGATGGGCATACGGGTCTCTTCCAAGATTTAGTTATTATGAACTGTGTTGCTACAAACATAGGTATGCATGTATCTATCGATACAAGAAATATCATCAAAAATTAACAAATGGGGTCATATCAAATTTAAAAACCTTCTGCATAGCAGAGATCAGAGTGCTTAGAAGCCCATGAGGCAATGCAAGCTGCTTTGTTTGAAAATGACTTTTTGTATTCCTTCTTTCATTTGGAGATAATCTCAAATATTTTGTAATGAGAATCAAGAATAGGACTGATGTGTAAGAAGCCACTGCCCTTTCTGTACCTTATCTATGCACTGTACATTGGCCACTCTGAACACCCACCTTGCATCTGTACTGATCTATGCCTAAAACTTCAAAAGACTCCACTTCCCTTCCAGGAGTGCAGGACTGGACGGGTGGATAACAATGACTTCTTTAGATCAAGTATCAGAAACTCCTAGGCTCTGCTTTGCTTCATTATCTTGGAATGGAGTCCCAGGAATATGTGTTTAAACCTGTCCCCCAGATGATTCTTAAGTTCCATAGCATTTAAGAATTGCAAGTCTGAGAGAAGAGAGACCAATATTTTCTTGGCACAAATATGTGCAAGACAGAGGGTCCCTGTTATGGCTTTTATCTGGACGTCTCCCCCAAAGCATCATGCTCTCATATGTGGGGCTTTTGGGAGGTGGCTGGATCATGGATGTGTGATACTGGATCATAGGTATATAATACTGGATTAGGCCAGCAATTGGTTTGGGTATATTTGATGGATTTACTGAGAGGGAAGACTTTCTGGGTGTGAGTGACACCAGCCAATAGGCGTGTAGCCTGAATGGAATATAAAGGGAAAGAAAGAAGTTACACTGCTTACTGCTGCCTGCCATGAACTGCTTCTCCTCTCCCATGCCCCTCTGCCCTGCTTCCCTGCCGCCCTCCACTAGTCCATGCCAGACTATAGACTGAAGCCTCTATAAACTGTGAGTGAAAATAAACCTCCCTTCCTTTACCTTGTGGGCATCAGGTATTTTGTCCCAGCAACCAGAAAGTCATTGAGACAGTGCCATTGTGGAGATGTAGGTGGGTGGCTGGGTAGAGAGCTTGGCTCCTGATTTCTGGAGAAAGGGACCAAACCCCTCCCAGAGAGGTGAATTTACTTACCGGAGCCCCAACGTGCCCGGGAGGCCCTGGAAGTCCAGGCAGTCCTTGGGGACCCTGCAGAAGAGTGTTCACAAAGAAAAGATTGGAGATGGAAAGAGACGACAAGAGCTGCTCAGTCAGGGATGTTGGCAGAAGGACAGCTAGGGCTGCTGCTGCCTGCATCTGTCTCCCCGGTAGACCCCCGTGCAATCTCAGCTTCCCCGCCCACAAGAGCTCAGGCTTTGTGCTGCCTGATGGAGCCACTATCACACCCTGATCTACTAAAGCTCAAGGAACTGCTAAGGGTGTGCCTCTGAGTTATTGCAAACCCACAGGCAGCAATTCCCATTCCCACCTCTCCTGGGTCCCTGGGCCTGGACATGCTCATAGCTTCTTATAGGCTGAGACTGACTCCTGTGGCTCCTCATTCATACACTGTCACATTGTCAGCACTGCATGAATGAGTCCTGACAATGTGCCCAACAGAAGTCTGAAAAGCCCAAGCCTCCTCTGCTACCCAGACAGTGAACTGCTATCCAAACACCTATTAAAATCTCCTAAAATAAAAATGTTCACTTACTCAGCCAGGGGAAGCCTAATTTTTATAATCTATCCTACTGCAATAAAAATAGTGTATATAAAGAGAAACACACACACACACACACACACACACATATGCACACATGCATGCTTCATTGATTTCAGTGAAAAACATGGGATAAATTTGAAAGAAATGTCAGGTCTATAAATAGGGGAAAGGTTATATAAATTGCAATGGCATTGGTATCATGCAATACTAGACACTGATTAAGTAGAGTAGATTGGGTCTATCTATTGGTCTGGAAAGGTATCTCAAACCTCTTGATAGACATAAAAGATAAAATGCCAAGTGTATGGTCCATTTCTTGCCAGAATTCAGCACAAATTATATATGCATGGAATCCCACCCTTACACACACATATATGCCCCTGTATGGGAAGGAAAGAAATAATGTGGACATTTTATCTACACCTAAAACAACTGGCTTTGTACCAGGACTTGGTCCCTGGGAACATTAGCAAAGTACAGCTCACAGAGACACTTACCCGCATGCCCACCTCTCCAGGCAGTCCTGGCTCCCCCGGCTCTCCTGGCTCTCCCTGTGCACACAAAGCAACACATGATAAGCAGGACACAGGTCCAGGCACCCCAGAGTGGCCCAAAGCTTCCCAGAGACCATTTTCTGTAGCTCAGAATTTGTCACAGAGAATTAGTCACACAGCCAGGGGAGAGAAACCCAGGCTCCTCTGGAAAACTCTTTCTGTAAACAAAGGAGTTGATCTTCAGAGCATACAGTGTTACCTCTCCTCTCCCTGGCTGCTACTGCTCGAGATCAACAAAATTGGATCTGGACAGAAAATAGATCTGGAGTCCCAGTGATGGTCACCATCATGGAAAGGGTGTAGCGACCTGGAGGGACTCAGGAAATCCCCTTTCTCCCCTAGTTTCCAGGACCTCAAGCACCCTGTCTTTAGGTGCAACCGGTTGTGGACTTATGTGTGCATATGACTCAGTTTCCACTCTGAAACTTAATCACACTCGGCTGAAAAATGGCAAAGAAACAGAGAGGTGGAGAGTTCAGAACCAATCTATGTTTGGGTTCTTGGTGGAAAAATAATATACTTTTTCTTAGAAGCAGACTGACCTACTCTTTGAGATCCCCTTGCTTGGGTTCCTGGAGCATGGTCCAGCCCGGAGGCAGGCAAGGTGGACAGCGAGGTGGGTCTGAGTAACAGGAGTGTGGCTGGCCACATGGGGTCTGGGGCACTGCCTGGGTCTCACTGAGGACTCATCTACCTATGGACTGGGGACTTGGGTGATCCCTTCCCTCACTGAAGCCAGTTCCTGCCTGAACACTGAGGTGAACCAGACTCTGTAAAGCTACTTGTGGACTAAGTGAGGAAGCAGCTTCCAAGGACACACAGCGGTTGCCTGGGTCCCATCAGTGGCTTCTGGTATTGGTGTAACAATCAAGCTGAGCCAGGGACCTGAGAACATCTGGTGCAAATGAGCCCCAGCTAGGGCCTGGCACTGTCAATGTCCAGTCCAGGACACAGGGTTTGGGCCAGGAGGTCCTGGCCTGGTGCTTCCATGTGATCTGGGACAGCAGGACAGAACTTACTCTCATGCCTTTGCTGCCATCTCTCCCAGGAGGACCAGGAAGGCCCAGGGATTCCTAGGAGGAGAGAAAAAGACCAGCAATTGGTAAAAGATACAGGCAGTCCTAAGACAGCCTCTTGGGATGTGGCTGCCATGGAGAAGGTGCCAGGCAGATAAAGGAGGTTGTGGTCAAACCTTGCTTTTCAAAGGGTGATCGTCAGTCTGCAGCTGGGACATGTCTTGGGAAAGGGTAAGATATGCAGATTCCCAGGCGCTTCACCAAGCCAAACTGACTACATCACCATCCACACTTGAACAAGATCCCAGGTTATCTGTGTGCATCCGACAAAACGGGTGAGGAGCTCTACTCAATACTGTCCCCCAGCTGGGGGTCTGTCCCCTCCTCCCGCAGGACTCAGTGTCCCATGTATAGAGTAGAGGGCCAGACACACTGGCTGGCGAGTCTTTGATGTGGTGGTGTCTGTGCCTTAGCAGCCTCTCTTGGTGCCAGCTGCACGACCCAGTTGTAAAAACTGAAAGTGTCACCAGACTCACCCAAATGTCTCCTGGGAGGCAGTCACTCCTGGCTGAGAGCCACTGGGCTAGAACAGGACTTCAGTTTGTCTTTTCAAATTGGGACAAACTTCATTCTAGTAATTCACATGCAAATGCAGGTGACAAGCACAAACACAAAGCAGCTTTTGTCCAGGTTCAGGGGCACGTAAACATATCTTCTCTTCTCTCTCACTCCTTTCCACTTTCATAATACATAGCAGCATCTGCACACCCATCAGCTCACTAGACACCTAGAAATCCTGCAAATCAAGTGTTGGGACCCCCACTGTATGTGAAGGCACAGTAGAGCACAGAGTGGGATATTCTCACAGCCACCTGGAACCCTGTGTGGCACAGAGAGACAGATAATGGTTGGACATGGAATCACAGCTTGCTCTCCTTTAGCCTAGGGAGCAGGGTATGGTGGAAAGTCAAAGGTCTCTAGAGTCATTGAATTGCAGCCTCAAATTTCCTCCTTGTCCCTCAGTCCTGGTGACTTTGCCCAGGTTAGAGAAATGTCCTGAGCCTTAGTCTCTGTCTACAGAGAGGGACTGTACACCTAGCGGTAGGCCACGAACAACTTGGCAACTGTTTTAAATAACTAGTTCAACATAGCAAGGAATATCCACTCTGATGAGGGGGTGGTCATCTTTGCTGTGTGTCCTAAGAATCTAACTACATGTCTCTTTAGAAGTCAGTATTTTCTGAGTTGCAAGGTGTAGCATCTCTTTTTGAATTTTGTTTTATACGGTTAAGATAACCAAGCCAATACTACAAATAAACACAGCTGAGAAACTACCATCTTGAAGGCATTGTGTGATCCTGGCATTTCATTAGATGGATCCCTGCTCTTATGTGTCCTCAAAGGATTCAGCCTGGCCAAGATATTTCAAATGTGATAATATGTAGATATTCCAATATCTACATATATGTGTGGATATTCCAATCTAAACTCCACAGTACACTGTCATGGACTAACCCTGTGATCCACCTTCCAGAATTTCCCACTTGGACTCCCCATCAGCTCCCTTCAGTGGCTTTGATAAGAGAAACTCACAGCTGCAGGCCTATTCCTTCCCCATTAAGAACATCGCCAGCCTCTCTGATCCTCGGTTACAACCCCTGCAAGGCAGAGTCTCACGCTATTTTCACATGAGAAGTGAATGTGGACATATTTTGCACACTGGAAAATATTATTAAAATTGCCTGTTGTTTGTATCTTAGTAAGAACTTAAAAAATAGTTCCATGGGGGAAAGTCAGTAAAAAGAGTGGGGAGAATATCTAGTTTCCTCTGAAATTGGTAAGATCGGACATATGAAGACCTTCAGAGAGAATACACATACTTAAGTATCCATGATGAATATGGGGGAGGGGCAGGGGGGGAGGAAAGGAAGGAACCAAAAAGAAAGAAGGAGATGTACATGTGCATGGATACTCCTGGAAGGCGTCTCAGCAGGGTGACTCACCTCCTATTGTGTCCTGAATATCTATGTCCCCCAGTGTTGGTCTGTAGTAATCCAACACCCAGTGCAAAGTCTTAGAGCTGGGGCTTTTAGGAACGAAGATCAGTGCCCTTATGGAAGCACTCAGAGGGAACTTGTTTGCCCCTTCTGCCATGTGAGGACACAGCACCGAGTGGCCATCTATGAAGCAGAAAGCCAAGACCAGGCATCCTCTCTGCCCGATCTTCACCTTGGCCTTCCCAGTCTCAGAAGCCATAGCAAGAAATTTCTGTGACTTTCAAATTACCCCAGTCTAAGGCATTCTGTGGCAGCATCAGTAATGGAGTAAGACGTTTCCTCTCCCATGTCTCAGCTCCATCCACGTGAAGGAGGGATGCAAGAGGTAAAGCACCCCTGGTCCCAGGGTACGGAAAGGCTGTGCATGGAGGGAAATTTCAAGCAGGCAGCAGGTCCTGTCATTTTGAACAGACTTTCTAAGCTTTCATATTTCACCTATAGAAAGGAAATTCATACTCGGGCTGTTAATAGGAAGGCAATAAATAATGTGTATGAAACACACTACAGAAGAAAACTAAGGCTCAGAGCAGCAGTGCCTTCCCAGTTTTGTGACAGCAGTTGTGACTCCAATTTGAGGCTCGATTCCAAGTCAGGCTCTGACTTCTCTACCACCTGCGGCCTCCCCTCCCCCACATTCAAACTCACTGTCTCCATGATCCCATCTGGAGCTCATGGGAGGCAATATCTGGCAGGAAATTACCCCCCACTCACCCACCCACATGTACACATGTACACACACTAGCAATGGAGCTTCGAGGTCATACTGTTACATCACTGGGCAAGATACAAGAGAACAGATATTCCTTTTGTTCTCAGTTAACTAAGTACCATGACTTATATCTAAATGTTGATAAGGATGTTCATACATTTCTAGAGATGCTACATTCATCTCATTCTTTATCTATCTGATGTAAGGCACAGCAGGTGTGTTAGATAGAGTCTTAGGAATTATCTGGTCAATGATTCTCAAAGTGTGGTCCCTGGGCCAACAGTGTCAGCATCACTTGGAGCCTTGTTATAGAGACCACTTCTTGGGCCCACTGCAGATCTGCTGACTCAGACACCAGGAGGTCTTCCAGGTGTTCTGCATGCTGGCTCAAGTCTGAGAAGCACTTCCCAGTACAGATAGACAAAATCTGGGAAGCTGGCAGACATGAACGCAAAACCTGCTTCTGCTACTCAGAGGAGTAAAATCACCAGTAGTGCCTGATCCCTTTACCACTCACCTGAAGAATAAAAATGATACAGTAAGTCCCTGACCTATGAATAACTTCCATTCTGGGAAAAGTTGAATTCATTTTTAAGTCTAACAAAGTGAGTCTTATGCACCTTTGATTCAAATATACAATGTATATTGATTTGTGCTTCCTACCAGTCCCCTCTACATCACCACTGCTTTTCCTCTTGCTTCAGCACATCCTGAGCTCTGATTAAACACTGTGCTACTGAAATTATTCTATTGTGCAGTAAGCACACAGAAGCACAACTGTGACAGTGTCCAGCAGACACACAAGCTACTTCTGCAATTTGTTTGCACCTACCAATACTCATAATGTGAGGTCCATTCGTATCTGTGAAAGTTTGCAACTTGAATGCTCATAAGTCGAGGATTTACTGTATCTGCCTCAAAAGTTAAACTTAATAGCATGTACGTGAATCCTCGCGGTTAGGGAGTGCTTGTAAATACTAGGTACTTTCATTATTCTTAGATGCCCTATGAATTAGTTTAGATGAACTGGGAAAGGAAAGGACGTTTGCACCTACCCAGCTGGACCATACTTTCTAAGAACACTCTCTGGGCTTCCTGAAGCCCTGGGAGCTGCCAAAATCCTCCTGGAGTGGGGCATGAGGGTGAGGCATGAGACACTCTGCAGCTGCTGGGAGCCTCAGGGGATAAGACATCATTAATACTGAGAAAAAAGAAGACATCACTTAGTGTAAAAAGAAAAGAAACACTATTCTGGTGCTATGGTTAATATACTTAAAATTTATGAGCACTTTTTACAAATATAAGTCATTTATTCTCATTAGCTCATTTGCAACCACCCTCTGAGGTGAGAGTATTAATATATTTGCCAATTCACAGATGACAAAAGTCAGGTTATAGGGGTTAAGTAGTGGCTCCATGTCATGCAGCTGCTAAGTGCCCAAGTCAAGTTCTGGTTCCAGTCATCCTGTGTCCAGAGTCCACACTTCTCATTTCTTTGGACCACTTAGCCTAGTCATCTGGTATGGACCTTTCCCATATGTGTTCCCAGTCTCTTGTATGTAGTTCCTAGTCTTTTAATTGGTCTATTATACTTGGCAGGAAACCAAGTGTCAGACAAACCTGGAGGGGAAAAAAATGTTGTCTTCCTGATTCCAGCTCTGTAGGCACTGGTTTTGAGATCTGGTAACGCAAAACTTCCCCAAAACTTCTCTCAGCACCATGGACAGAGCACCGGGCGCTGCTTTATTAGGAGTTCACTCTCTGGACCTACGTAGGACATAGAAAGCTTAACTAATTCCCTCCTAAATCCTTTACTTATTGTAAAAAATAGAAGGTACTCAACCAAATTTATCCAACTTCATAATCATGAATAATGCATATAAGTGCATAGCAAAGGGCAGGAGATGGGGGGGTGGGGACGGTGCTGATTAAGCCAGCTGTGAGCAAAGAGAAAGGACCCAGAGCTACAGGCAAATGGTCTTAGGCATTTCACACATAAAAAGACAAACATAGAGTTTACATTTTCTGGCTCAGAGGCTCTACAGCACAGGCTTTTCAGAAAATAAGTTGATCCCTGTAAGTTACAGAATGTGGTTTTTGAGAGTCCCAAATTCCCCGATACAAGAATTACTTTCAGAGGAGCAGGGAATGGTAGTGGCCAATGCAGTGGTGGAGTGGAGGACCTCTCCTCTGCTGTCTGTGTCTTGCATCAGGTAGGCCCAGCCTGAGCCACAGTCACTCACCAGCTGTGTGAACCTAGACATGACCCAGCCCCTTTTCAGAGTCTTAGG